AAGAAATATACAGGATACTTGATACCAGGCAATGGGGACAGGCCACCCTTCTCTCCCTTGTCTGTTTTCTCCACCTATGAAAGATAGAAAGTCAGCAGGAGCAGACACAGAACACCTGGCTGGCTCAGATCCCGGGGAGAAGAGCTGGGGGTTGGAGGCCTTGTTTCTAATTTAGAGCTGTGGTCAGAGAAGGGCTGCTAGAGGAAGTGATGTCGACTCTGAGCCCTGAAGGATGAATCTTAAGTATCCAGGAAGGGGTGGGAGAGACACGGAACATTAGAGGAGTGGAAGACAGACAGGGTGGCTGGAGGAGCAAGTCCACGTTCATCCAAGTGGGACTCGACCCAGAGGGTAGAAGCTCTGACCCACACCTATGGCGCCCACAGGAAGACGTTTTACCTTTCACTTAAAAACACGCTTCCTTTGCACTTCAGATTCTGCTTTGGGCAGGTGTTGAGGTGGAGGTTCAAGAAAACAAACAAATGAACAAAACAAATCCAGTGTGCAGCTAAGTGAGGAGAGACCACAGGAGATACATGGATTAGGCACCACTCCGCCTGCAGCAGACTGAAAACATAAGCACCTATCACTGTGTCAGTATTCGGGATTCCCCTCTGAGCATGAAATAGGTGAGAGGTAGACAACTACTGCCCATGTCATGGTGGGATGGGTAGGGACACAGCTCGATGCAGAAAGGAGACAGAGAGGAAGGGCCAGACTGTTTTCATGGAAGACAGGAAGTGGACAGAGCATGTGTCAAGGCCATGTGCCTTTGAAGGCAACCCCAGCATGAGCAAACCATGGGTGAAAGACTTGCTGGAACCCACCCAGTGAGACGAGCCTCCTTCCTCTCTTGCCCCATCCCTGCAGCTCCCCTCCTGTTACAACTGAGGAGGGCTCCCTCTGGTTCAAGGGCAATGTTGCCACCTGAGGGTTAAGACCCTCCCCTTCTCTCCCCTTCCACCTTCTTGGGAACTTGATACCATCAATGATGTCATCTGTCTCCCAAACACTCTCCACCTCCTCTCAACCTCTCAACCAGATCCTGTCCCTTAGCATTTGGGCACACCCAGGTCTCTCCCATCGCAAACAATGGCTGATATTCCCTTGACCCACATTCCCCCTCTGTAGACGGCAGGGCACCCCTCCTCACCTTCAAGGTCAGTCGGCAATTTCTGTGTCCGCTGCTCGGCTCCAAAGTCCCAATTCATGTCCCTCTCTCCCACGTGCTCTGACCCAGCTCCCCAATCCTCACTTGGCCAACAAACCTGCCACTAAAGCCTCTGCTGGTCAACAGGGCCCCAGATGACATGCCCAGTCCTGGTTTTCAAGATCTCGCTGAGCAAGTGACCTTTGACCTCACACTCCTGTGCCACAACCCCTCCTGGTTGCACCCACTTCGCTGGCAGCTCCTTCCCAGACATCTGCAGAGGGGTGTGTGGAGGCTGCGTCCTTGGCCACCTCTTCTTGCACCACTCTTCCCCCGCCCCCAGTGGGGGATTTCAGCCCGGGCTGCACATTAGAATCACTTGGGGAGCTTTTAAAAAGTACCAGCACCCAATTAAATCAGAGTCACTAGCGTGGGGTCCAGATGTGGTAGCTTTAAAAGCTCCCAGGTGACTCTGAAGGAGCAGCCAGGGTTTTGAACCACTGCCCTCAGCGACCTGTTCCATGCCAGGACCATCAGCCCACCGACAGCCTGCCCGGGGTGTGTCTGCAGACCCTGGAGCACCCAGAAACACCTCTGCTCCCCAGAGGCATCTAGCCAGACACTTCTCATCCCGGAAGACACACTCTTATTCTGACTGTAAATTCCTACAGTGCTTATGTAATTTGTGTGCACATTTCCACAGTGGGCTGATTAGGGAAGACATTTTCTTTCTGGCCTAAGAAAGATCTTAATAGCATATCCAGAAACAAATTTGTTTTTAGTTCTTGAATCACGAGTGACAAAAATCTAGGATGCTAAAATGCCTATGACTAAGTTACGATTTTTTGGTTTAGTTCTCTACTTCCCTGTCTCTCAAAACAAAAAAAAGAAAAGGAGTCTCTGCTTTCTGCTTCTAATTCATTTACATGGGAGCTGTCCTGCATCTCCACCACACTGAAACCTGATTAGATGTCTCCCCAAACAGACGTCAAGGTCTTCCAAGGCTAGGACCGAGCCTTAGTCACCGATGGATCTCCCATGCCTAGAGTGGTAACTGGCATAGGGTGAAGTCTTGTTGAATGAATGAATGACTGTTTTACTGGTATAGCCAACAGAAAAAGCCACCATTCTGGCTAGCTTTTCTGAATGGACTCATAAAGAGGAGACCTGAGCTCTCAACTATAAGCTGTAATTTGGAAGTAGACCAGTACTGTCCGCAGAAAGTACATGTCGTCTTCTGGGCATGAATTTGAAAGACGGTCCTATGGAGAATCCCAAGCCTGGTGCACATGAGCATCACCCGGGGGGCCTGTGATGCCTGTCCCAATCCCACTGGGAGAGGGAATTTGTCTTCACGCATTCCCTCTGGCTGCAGATCAAAATTGGAGAACAGTCTGGCACTCCCCAAAGGCAATGTTTCCATCACTCAAATATTTTGGAAGTAAACTGAGGGAAAAGCTACAAGGTGGAAACTCAGCCAAGGTAGGAGACGACTTACTGGAACCAGATTTTTTCCAGCGCCCCCTGCTGGGCTGGGGAAGCCCCACGTGGGCCCAGAAGGATGCTGCCTCCTTAGCTGGACACGGAGTCCTCCTGTCTCCCCTGAGAGGGGTGAATAAGCCATTTGCTGGAGACAAAGTGGGGCTAAAAGGTGTTTCCAGGGAGCTGCAGCCTGTCCCCCAACAGACATGCACACTGATGCCCAGAGTCATCTGTGCCCCTGGCTGTATGTGCCCAGTCCCCAGCATACGTCTGCCCTGCCACAGAGACTCATCTCCCTTCCAGTTCCTTCAAGAAAAGATATGGAAATGCATCTACCCATGCAATGGGATATTATTCTTTCATAACAGAGAATAAAGTACTGAGAGATGTTATAATGTGGATGGACATTAAAAATATTATACTAAGTGAAACAAGGTAGACACAAAGGCCACATGTTGTGTGATTCCATTGATATGAAATGCCCAGAACAGACAAATGCGGAGACAGAAAACAGATGAGCCCTTGCCATGTGCTGGAAGGAATTGGGAGTGGCTGCAGACGGATATGGAATTTCCTTTTGGGGTAATGAAAATACTCTGGAACAAGACAATGTGGTGGTCGCCCAAGATTGTGAATGTAGTAAATACCACTGAATTGTACATTTTAAAACGATAATTGTTATGTGTATTTTGTCACAACTAAGAAGACCAACAACAAAAGTTATGGCTGCTGGTCAGGACACTGCTTTCTGTGGGTATCTCCCGGTTCTGAGAACCCCCAGTGCTGGGTACCAGGGGTCAGCTCAAAGGCATGGGAGTTCAGCCCAGGGATTGGTCTTGTTCCCAAACCAGGCTGGCAGCTAGAGCCCTTAGAAGCAGAAGACTGTGCCTCCCAGTCACAACTATGATCTGTTTCTACCTACCTTCCTTCTGATACCAAATGGCAGGGGGCTGGCTTCCCATACCCACCAATTCTCCAACACCAGCTGGGTGTCCCATAATTTAATTCAATTCTGATACTAAGTACCTGGAGTTGACATCAGATACCACAAGTTAAGGGCTCAGTCCCATAGACTGCCCCCACTTCAGATGCCAGTTGCAAGTCCTGGACCACCAGGACTTCTGACTGACCAGCTATAAATTCAGGGGGTCCCCAAAACTCCCCACTCAGGTTCAATAATTTGCTGGAACAGCTCACAGAACTCAGGAAAACAGTTTATCTAGTATTGTCAGTTTATTATGAACAATACAACTCAGGAACAGGAGGAAGAGGGAGGGTCTGCAAGGACTTTCATGCCCTCTCTAAGTGCACCCACCACACTCTTGGCACCTCAGCATATTCACCAACTCAGAAACTCTCTGAACCCCCAACCCCATAATTTAAGGGGTTTTACAGAGATGTCATTATGTGGGCATGATTGAGTAAATCATCGGCCATGGGCGAGCAAATTCAATCTCCAGCCCCTGTTCCAGCAGGCTGGGAGTGGGGCTGAAATCCAGCCCGCTAGTCCTGCCTGGCTTCTCTGGCGACCAGCCCCCATCCCAAAGCTATCTGGGGCTCTCCAGCCCCCATCATCTCACTAACATGCAAGACATATCACTCTGGAAGTTCCCAGGAACTGAAGACTAACACCGAATATTATAACAAGAGAAGGGACCAGGAAGTTACCTTCCTTAGGAAGGTGCAAGGATTTTAGGAGCTCTGTGACAGGAATGGAAGCTGAAAACCAATTTTTATTTCTTCACCTACCCACCAGCAAATCATATTGAACACCCACTATCTGCTGCTCCACGGGAAAGAGGGAGCATCGGGGAGGAACAGGGTGTAGAGGCATCAAGGTTCTATTGACAAAAAGCTAAATGCAAGACACTGCATTTTTTTGAAGGGTATTAATTAGGCACCATGACTGAACATGCCAGGTAAGCAGTCTGAAACTCAGCAGAGAGAAGGAAGCTGGAGCTATAAATGTGGTGACAATAAGCATAAAGATGATATTTAAAGTCATGGGTCTGGATGCTATTTCCGGGTGGAGGGGGGATGTGGCAGAAAAGGCCCAGCCCCAAGGCCGGGGGTGAGCAGGACGCTTAGAGGTGGTGGAAGAAAAACAAGCAAGGGAGATGGAATCCAGCAGCACATGAATAGGAGGAAACCAGGAGACTGTGGCATCTCGAAGGGGAAGAGAGAGAGCGCTTCCAGAAGTGGGGGGGTGGTCATATTTTTACAATGCTGCTGAGGACTGGACAGAGGAGTGGGGGTGGAGGCCCCTGGGTTGGCAGAGTGGATCCAGATCGGGAGCAGGGAACAGAGCTTATACAATATGGAGGGCGGGGGGAACTCCATGAAAAATAATACAAAATTACAAGTGAAAGTATACCAAGTTTAATAAGGAAAAAATATGACAACAAATTGCACATTAAAAAAAAAACAGAAGCACACTTTTAAAAACTGAAAACTGAACAAATCCAGAATTTGTTCATCCAAATTAACATAGTATTTTCATAAAGAACTGCCTGACACACCTCTATAATTCTTTGCTTCTGCCTATCATTTTTCTGCCTGTCTACTGTTTGTCTTTTCATATAACAATGGTTTTGTAATATCAATTTTTATAGAGAGCAAAGAAAGTTAACTCAACCTATTTTCCTTTTCATTAAAATACTTTAGAAAAGTTTTTTCATCTTGGCAACTCCATCTTGGTAATGAGGCGAAATGTTCAGGATTAGATAGGATGGTTGTCGAATCTGGGGAAATCTCTGCCGAGTTTCTTTCCCCAGTGAGCTGCGGAGAGTCCAGATGCAGAAACACCGCAAGTGTCCATCAACACGAGTGGATGAACAAACTGTGGTATAAACAATAGAATAGTATTCAGACTTAAAAAGGAACAGAATTCTGATGTATGCTACAATATGGATGAACCCTGAAAACATTATGCTAAATGAAAGATGCCAGTCACAAAAGGGCAAATATTACATGATTCCACTTACATGAAATATCTAGAGGCAAATTCAGAGGCAGAAAGTGGATCTGTGATTGTCCACAGCTGGATGAGGAGGAGGAATAGGGAGTGACTTCTGGGTGGTGACAGAGCCTCTGTTTGGGTGATAAAAAAATGTTGGACCTAGATAATGATGGGTACAATGTGAATGTAATTCATGCCACTGAATTGTACATTGAAAAATAGTTAAAACGGCATATTTGATGTTTGCGTGTGTGTGTGTGTGTGTGTGTGTGTGTGTGTGTGTGTTACCATGAAGACAAAAAAAAAATTTCAAACAAACAGAAAAACAACTAACTTTTGGATTTCAGGGCATTTCAAGAACTATTCATGCATCCAAAAACATGGGCAGCAGGCACCACAGGACAACTCCCTACAGCTCCTGTCGCTTGGCATCTGGATGCTGGGGCGACTGGCATGAGGAACAGTAGGAATCTTAAAAAGCACTCTGACAGCTGGCAGTTACTTAACTATAAACAAAAGTGACCGGGAACCGCATAAATACATCTCCCTAAATCTGTATGTATTCCCAACTCAACTTCCCCTCAGCCTGATCCCAAAGTGCTCACAGCCACTTCAATGCTGCCTGACATGAGGGAGAGAGAGAGGACGGAAAGGAATGGAAAGAGGCAGAAGTCTTAACCAATTGCAGCTAAAATAGCTTAAATGCACAAATTTTCCAAGTGCAGATGACCTGGGAACCCATTGCTACTGCCTCTCCTGGGCCCGGAAGCTGAAGCTTCATTAACTTCATGGAAAAGTCACCTCCAGTCACTGAGGACCTTGCCTCAGGCAGTATCTGCAAAGCGCAGGGGACAGAACCCCAGGAGGAGCTGGCTGAAGAGATGTGGGGAGGTGAGGAAGTGGGCACAGCTGGAATACATGACTCTCCGTGGGTGTTGTGGGGTTGGAGGTGAGGTATGGAAACGAGGTGCCCACTGGAGGATCGTGGAGGGATTTGTAATGGAAACACTAGTAGAACTTGTGCCTGTGCTCATGGCAAAGAGAACCTGAACGTGTAGGAACAAGGGTGGGACATGGCAGTGAAGTCCTTGGGAGAAAGAAGTCGTGGGTGCACCTTTGGAAGGAGCAGTGACACCCCTAAAGTGCTTCTGTACTCCCAGCCTCCACTTCCTCACTTCCCATCAAAGCTCTTTGTAGGCCACCAAGGACTTGACTGTCACTTAGTTCATCGGCTGTCCTTCAATCATTCTGCACCTCTGGGTGCTAGGTGCCGCTGGGAGCTGACCTCAGCCCCACGGCCCTGGCAGAGCAGCAAGGGAGACGGAACAGCAAGGTGGACACCATAGACTCCATTCTATCTCAAGGAGAGGGGCTGAGGAGGCCCCCCATGGCCAGTGCGCCAGAACAGGGCAGCTCAGGCGCCTCAGAGGCAGCAGGCTGAAAGGTGTGTCGGGGCCTGGTAGGTGGGGGTCTGAGTAAAGAGCGTTTCAGGCAGAGGGACTGACAGACTGGGGCTGGAGGGCAGAGGAACCTCTGAGAAACCCAGAGTCACACATCTGACTGGACTTTAGAGACCCAGGAGGTTGGAGGGCTTGGGTGTGTCTGGAGGGATGGGCAGGAGCTATGGTAGGCAGGGCTGTGTGGTACACAGTGAAGGGGAGTTTGTTCTCTATTGTAGGAAAATCTGTGATTCCTCTCTTTTTCATCCTCTAGTGACCACCAAGTTGCATCCAAAATGACTGTTGCCTGTGCATTTCTCTCCACCCTTCTTGGTACCAGTCTGATTTATGATACCATTGTCTGTCCAGGAGTGGCTCCTCTGCTCACTTTATCTCCTTTCTGGCTTCTCAGCATCACTTTCAGCAGGAGTTGTAGCCTTCTTTTGAGCAACCCCAGGGCCTCTTGGCCTCTTCCCACCTCCTTAGTTCCCCAGGGACCTCTCTGGGGTGATGGATGTGACTAGAAGTTACCTGCCCTCACTATGTTGCCTTGACTCCTCATGGTCACAAAGTGGCTGCAACACTTCCAGCCTCCCACAGAAACCACACACCCAGAGGGAGTGGGAGCATTTCCCCCAGGAGCTCTCTCTAGAAGATGAGAAAGCCCTTCCCAAAGACATCTCCACAGCCGTCCCCTCAGTTCCTGTTCCTAATCACTACCCAGAGGAGTGAGATACTATGATTCCCCCACTGGGTCAGGAGGAGCCCACAAATCCAGGACTAAAAAATATCTTTGTCAGATTCCACAAACATAGTTTGCCCATGGCCTGCCTTCTGTGGCACCTCTCAGAGGAGATCTGTGCAGACCCCAGCCTTGTTCTCTAGCCCCTGGCCGCACTGGAAAGTCCATTCTGAACATCACAGTGGCTCTGTGCCCAGACCACACATTCCTCTTCCAGAGAGTAATTCCAGACACCCACAACTCCTGCTCTGTCAATTTTCTTTTTTCAACATCATTCTGCCAACAATTTAGCAGAGATCGACCGTGGTGCATTTCTTGGCTTAGTTCCTCTGAATTCTGTGATTCAAGTACAGTTCAACGTTGCCACGCTCCCATTCCTGACAAACCCCCAGATCTAACAATGTCCTTGATGGTGGAAAGGAAGGATGGAACTTTCCTTTGTTAAATAAACAACTTTGGTGTTGGCTGGAAAGGGATACTAGGGAGCACAGAAGGATGTTCAAAACAGGTCTTTATATCAGGTTTGAGTCATGTCTTTCCACCTCTACAAACATTTACATGCTGACAAATGTTTAACAACCAGTTCTCACCTATCTATATCTATCTATCTATTATCTATCATCATCTACCTATCTATGTAATCATCCATCTATAATGAATATTAATCACATAAAGGTAATAAATACTCAAGAGCAATCACTTCCTAATTATTCTACTACATGACTGGGAATGGGAGAGGAAGAAATTCTGCTGGCAGAAGGAATGCCTATGCAAACAAACGCTAGCATAACTCAAAGGCCTTTTGAGCTGGCTAAGCCTACCTCTGAAGCCTCATGTCACACCCCTCACCCCCTCCAGCATTAGTCCCAAGCCACAATGGACATCTCTCAGTTCCTGGGGACTTTCTCCCTATGCCACTCACCCCTGGGCATTTGCACATCTTACAGTCCTTCCCAGCTTACTGCTACTCCTCTGCCAGGTTTTGGTTTAGATGCCACTTCCTCAAGGAAGTCTTTATGGTCCTCAATCTGGGTTACATAGACCTCCTATATCCATTTATATTTTATTTAACAAATAATTATTGATGACCTTCTTTTTGCCAAGTTCTGCACCACTGCCTTATTCTTGTCTGTCTGTTCCCCTAAAACTTACATTTTGTGGAGTAGGCATCTTGTGTATATTCCTTGTGAACATCTCCATGACACTTTACAGTACGTAAAACAGTCAAAACTCCACAATTTTTTGATGCAAAAAGAAATGGCTTAATGAAGTGACCATCACCTAACAGAAAAATAGCCATTTTAAAGTGAGCATCATTTTAGTATAATCAAATGTTGTACCACCAACATCTCTGTCTAGTTCCATTTTCTTACCACAGAAAAACATCATATCCGTTAAGTTGGCACCCCCCATACCCAAGCTGCTGCCCCCTAATCTTCTATGAAAGAATTTTTAAATGAATGAACATTGCTTTTGAATTGGACAAATAATTTACCTTCCTCTCTGAAAAGCCCATGGAAGCATTACTTTATTAAGTAAAGTATTTATTGATTACCCTGCTACACCTATGCTGCAATGGGCAGACACCAGGGACTTTCTCCCCACTGGCTGAGCCCCGCCTGGTGCACACCCCTGGTAGAAGTATGTGCCCTGAGGCGCGCTGGCCCCTCCTCTCTGGGAGGGGGATCCATCTCCCCAAGGTGCCAGTGTCTCTCCTCAAAGCCTCACCCTGAACCGGAAATGTCCCAGTCCTGCCAGTGGGTCACAGGGGCAGCTTTCTTGGGAGAGCTGAGCCTTGAGAACCTTCTGGAGGAAGTCTGTGACTCCAGAACCTTGGAAAGGGGTGGGGAGGGTGTGAGAGGAGGCTGGTAGGTGGGGATGCCAGGAGGCAGACAGGGGGCCCAAGGGCACTGCTCCTGGTCCACCACCATGAGCGGGGCAGAGCTTGGCACTGTGGCCTGCCTGCCCACTGTGAGGGGGTGAGCCTGGCTCCCCACAGCCCCTGGGCAGTCTAACAGGAGGCAGAATGGGGAAGCCTGGCCAGGAAGCAGTGCTTCAAGACCAACGGATCTGGGCGGGGAGGTCTGGCTCCCAGCACCTATTTGCCAGCATTGCCCGGCAGGGCTTTCCTCTGGAGTCCCCAGGGCTCCCCCTCACCCCTCACTCACCTGTGTTGCCCTCTGTCCATTGTCATCCTGCCCCCTGTGCTCTCCCCTGGCCTGATTTTAAGTCAGCTTCTGGTGAACTGTGGAGGGGCTGAGGAAGGTGATGGAGGAGAGGGGGAGAGACCTGCGGCAAGGAAGGGCCCTGTCCTTCCCTGTCTTCTCCGGAGGAGGATGGGGAGGCCGGGGCTCCCACACCGGCCAGGCCATGCCAGCGTGGGCCTCTGCCCGAGCCTGCCGACCACCGTGGCTCCCACGCTGGGTGCCGCCCGGCCACAGCAGCCCACACAGGCTCCCACTGCAACATCACGCAGTGTCCTGCTCGGATGTCACCCAACAGCATGGCTTCTCATGCCACACACATTTCCTGGGGCTGCTGTAACGAATCACCACAAATCTCATGGCTTTAAACGACACAGATTTATTCCCCTACAGTTCTGGAGGTCAGAACCCAAAATGATCTTATGGACTAAAATCGGGGTGTTGACAGGGCTGATCCCTCCTGGGGTTGGATATTGGCTCCCAAAAAGATATGTT